TAAGAGGCTGAGAGTCTCATTCTTAAACTGATTGGTATTGCAACAGAATTTAAATCTAGAGAATGGACCTGCATTTGTAGCTGGTCCAACTTCTAGATTTTGGGAGGTGTGTGGTGGAGTTGGAATTTAGCTGGACACCATGCAGACAAGCACTGTTTCTAAACTGAGGACTTGAGAGAGAAATTCTTGTTCCTGTGTAGCCATGCTGCCACTTCTAGGAGTGATGAGCAGTAGCCAGGGGGTCTTGAAGACCAACTGATTTTTATCAATAATTAAACTAAAATGTCTTTCTCTTAATACTTCCTTTTTCTGCAGTTTCTCTTGATTATGGACAGGTACATTTTGGACTGGGAATAAAGTGACATTAACAGTTTTGTTTCCCAAGGTGCCTATTTCAGGGCTTGTCTATGCTCAGAAGTTACTCAGGAACAGCTACGATGCTGTACATTTGTAAGTGCTTGTGTGGAACGTTTCTTGTTCCAGAATAAGAACATCTTCGTTCCTGTTTAGGTCAGTTCTAAAGTGGATTAAGCTAAACTGTCTAAAGCCATTGAGTGTGCGTCTACATAGCAGGTCTTAACTCGAAATAAGTTTCTCAAATTGAGCTACATCAATTGAATATCTTATTTCAAGATAGCTTATTTCGAAATTGGGAGAATCTACACAGCACTTATTTCGAAATAGAGCACTCCTCCTCTGACTTCCCTTACTCCTCCTACAGTGAGGGTTACAGGAGTCAGAGTAAGAAGTCCTCCAGCTTGACGATATTTTGACATTTTCAAAATAACTACCTGCAGTGTACTATTTCAGAATAGCACTCATTATTTCAAAATAGTGTTGCAGTATAGACCTAAAGTTAGGCTACCTCTACACTGGCAACTTCTTGCTCAAGAACTGTTTTGCGGAAGAGTTCTTGTACAAAAAGTCTTCCACAAAAGCGCGTCTACGATGCCATGTGCTTTTGCGCAAGAGCATCTATGGCAGTGTCGACTCTCTCTTGCGCAAGAAAGCTCTGATGGCCATTTGTGCAAGAAATTCAAGTTGCCTGTCTACACTGCCCTCTTGCACAAGAGGGCTTATTTCTCGTGGGGAGAGGAATAACTCTTCCGGAATAAGCCCTGTTTTCTGACGCTTTCCTGTAAATTTACTTGCGCAAGAACACGCTTGCAGCGTAGACAACAGGCAAGTTTTTGCACAAGAATAGCTGTTTTTGCACAAGAAGCCGCCAGTGTAGAATTAGCCATAGTGTTGAATAAGAGTATCCAGACTGGAAGCTATTGTAGAATAGCTTAATCTGCCACAGCTGATCTGTAGAC